GACCTCCAGACAGTGCCTCTGCCGGAGCAGCAGTGAGCGGAGTGGATGGGCCTCCATGCACACCTGGTCAGGTGCATCTGCAGCTGCCACTCCTTCACAGAGGTCAACTTCAGCAGCGTCAATGGGTGGGGCTGCTGCCAATGCAGTTGGGCCAGGTTCAGGGAGACTTCCACATCTTCTGTGACTGCTTGTCTATTGGGCACAGGATGGGCAAAGAGTATGCTCTTTTAAAGTTGGACTACCTAACAGCCCCTACCAGCAGGTAAAGTTTCACTACTGTTCTTCAGTTCAAGGTGATGTGGAGGTGTTGCAGTGAAAATCAGGGCAGAATGAGTGACATGTGCCATTCGACCGCTACCTGAAGTGCACACACCTGGGCCTGCTTAGGGTCTTAGCGCCGAAGGCGAGGTCTGTCTGCTGAACGCACTCCTTGGCCCAGTCTCCCTAGGGCTGTCTGTCTTGCCAATGTCCCTGGCCTGCCCACGGCTCCAGCTGGCAGGCCTGCTGTGGGTACCCGCTCTTCCATGGCCAAGCACAGGAAGAGGGGCCTGTCCTGCAGAGTAATACCAATACCGGAAGGCAGAGTTCACGGCTGACTTTCTTGCTGGGCGCCCACTCTAGCGGCTCCTTTCCCCCTCCTGCTGAGCCAGCAAAGGTTCCCTGGGGCACCCTGCAAGTGTGCCTCTCTGCCTGGTGCTTTCTCCGTGGAATAAAATCACACAGTGTTGGGGGGGTCACATAGCAGCTGGGCAGGCTGCCCCAGCACAGGGGCCTGGGTGGCCAGCACTGCACACTCAACATCAGCTGGAGACACAGGCTTGAGGTATTGTCATTTACTGAGGTAGCTTCAAGACAGAACGTTTGCTTTAATAGATCAACAGTGGTGCACCAAAAGAGGACAAATAGGAAAATTTACATATTTACAATTCTCAGGGCCATTTGCTTGGAAAAGTTAAGTGCATTGGGAGACTTTGACCTTGTTCTCAGCTCTGCCCGTTGGCCAGGCCCCTACAGTCTCGTGCATAGGAGGACGCTCAGACGCCATGCAGAGCCTGCCCTGGTGCCTCCTGCCCCCAGCACCCTCTCCTGAAGCAGGGACGTCCCTGATGGTGATGATCTTCCCTCGACATCTACCACCTAGAACTCCAGGCCACCAGTTCCTAAGAGTGAGCACACGATGAGAAAGTGAGGGAGAGGGAGGGACAGAATCAAGGCCCCCCTCCCCCACACTGAATGTGTAGGAACCTGTGTCACCCTCTTGGTGCTCCTACAGACCTGTATCCTTGAACTGCAATAGGGGGTGGGGGAGAGACAGACCCACATGGATGGAATGAGGCAAGGGTCCATGCAAGGCTCTGTCACTTAGGAATCAGTCATGTTACCAATCAGTTCAATGAAAAAAAAAAAAAAAAACTGACTTGGCAGCCCACAGTCCAAATAAGGAAAAAAGACTAAACAAGCCAGGCTCCTGGCCCACTGTATGAACAGAGCATAAGTGGAGAAAGGGCCAGGCAGTGAACTACAGGGTGATGCAGGTCCTTGCACTTTGCGTGGCCCAATCCCAGGGCTGGGCTGGGGAGACCCCTCCCCATCCTCCCACGTGGCAGGTGGACAATGTCAAGCTCCCCACTCCTGGCCAGAGCCTCGCTGTGTTAGAGCCAGCAGCCTCTGACCACCATGGAGGTCTCAAGCTCAGCCCGACGTCCCTGAAGTTGACATCAGAAGGCCACCATGTTGAAGAGGATCACGTGTTCTGTTGGGGAAGAGGAGGCACCCAAGGGTGGGCAGCACCCTCTGGAGAATCCATCAGTTCAACCTAAGAGAGCTTTCCAACATCGGCTCTCTCCTAAGATGGACGAACTGGTGCGGGACAGAGGGGCTCTCAGGTCCTGAGCGGCTCAAGCTGAGGCTGGTCCGTCCTGGCTGGGATTCTGCAGGGAGATTCAGACACCAGACCTGGGCTGCACGGGGGTCTACGTGCCCCTGCAGTCCTGCCTGATCCAGGCTCTTCACTTCTACTCACCAGCAAGGGCTAATCTCATAAACAGGCAAGGGACCAAAACTGTGAGCTCCTAACAGGAACTCCACTGCAAACAGCTGCAGCTGCTGCTTCTGAACGGTCAGCACGTCCGGCTGTGGAGCCTGTGGCCTGTACAGAGGCCACCGCACATCGAGGGTGTCCCGAGACACAGAATGAAGTGTGCCACGAGAGGCTCTGCTCTCCTTTGGAATGACAGCTGCCCTCCCTGCCCTCCTCTCTTCCTCTTCCCCTTGGGCACCTGCAGAGGCCGAAGCACCTGCCACCTGCTTGGGGACAGCCTTTCCCCTGATGTTTTTTTCAAAGGCAAGTGTGATGCTGCTTTTGTGATTATAATCTGGAATTTTTAAAGTCTGAGTCTACCCAGTGACAAACTTCCACCCAGATTCCTTCCTAGGAATGGCAGCTCTCAGGGCTGTACCCAGGGGCTGGGGACAGAAGAATGGACTGTGTGGTGGTGGTGGGGGCTCATCTGGGCACCTGGGTATCTTCAGCCCCTCTTAGCCTTTGGAAGGCTGCACTTTGTCGTAGGGATGGGGGAAGCCTGTCTCGTGTCTGCTCTTCTAAAGGGCACAGGGCGTATCTGCTTGGCCAGGTTGCTGAGGTTGAAGCAGATGCTGGCGGAGGATGAGGTGGGTGGTGTGGTGCTGGCTCCTCATAAGGTGGCTCCTCACGGGCCAACGTCACAGGCACGCTGTAAGCTGCTATAAAAGAACGTGTCTTTGCTGGGCTCCCGGGCTGCCCCCAATTCAGGGTAGATGTGTCTGTCGTCACCAAAAAAGCACCCTCTGAACCACAGCCAAAGGTGAGGAAGGGATGCGACTGCTTGGCCCTCCCCAAAGAACAAAATAAAGACATTCGGGATTCCTTAAACAAACAAAAACGCAAAAAGAAAGAGAAAAACCAACGCAGATGTTGAGGTGTTCAGTAGGTATCGTTCTTTTCCTAACAAGATAAATTATCTTTCCAACTTTGGTTATTATGTCTGTCCTCTAGAACAAGCTTTGTCCTTTTAACCCTAACCTACCGCCGACAGCCATGGCCTTGTGGAGAAGATGACTGGGGACCTAGACCAGGGAAGAACTCTTCCTCATAAGCAGAGGTGGGGCGATGACCACGTCATCGGAGTCATCGGAGTTGACGTCATCCACGGGTGGAGGCACCGCGGGCCGAGAGGGAGAGGGCACTGCTGAAATGAACCACAGGGAGGTCAGCCACACCACCGCTGGGCTGGGGGCCATTCTCAGAGCCACCAGCCACAGACACGCTCACATCGTCCGCCCTTCCCCAGCAGGCGAGACAGAGGCCACACCCAGAAGTAGGAAGCCACGGGCCAGACCTTCAGAATCAACTTACACACTATGCCAGAAAGCCCTCTCATTTTTTCCTAGTCTTCAAACGCAGCTCTGAATATTTTGGGCATTTCCCCAAATCAAAAAACCTGCAAAAGGTAAAGATTTGCCAGCAGTGAGGAAGCTTGAGCCCATGCTGGAGGATTCCCTGAAAGTCACTCTCACGCAGCATCCCAGGAGTCTGGGCCATGGTGGGTGGCTGGGCCACCTGTGCGTGTCAGAGCCCATCTCCAAGTTAAACGCACCAGCTCCCAGATGGCATGCCACGCAGTGGGGAAGGCAGGACGGGCAAAGCAATGCCAATGACAGCTGTGAGTTTTCAAACTGCCCGGCCATTCCATTTATACTACTTTTTTCATACACATCTAAATTTTTCCAAACTTTTTTTTTTTTTTGAGACAGAGTCTAGCTTTTGTTGCCCAGGCTAGAGTGAGTGCCGTGGCGTCAGCCTGGCTCACAGCAACCTCAAACTCCTGGGCTCAAGCGATCCTCCTGCCTCAGCCTCCCGAGTAGCTGGGACTACAGGCATACACCACCATGCCCGGCTAATTTTTTCTATATATTTTTAGTTGTCTGATTAATTTCTTTGCTCAGGCTGGTTTCGAACTCCTGAGCTCAAACAATCCGCCCACCTTGGCCTCCCAGAGTGCTAGGATTACAGGCGTGAGCCACCGCGCCCGGCCTCAAACTTTTCATCTATGCTAGAATGAGGTGCCACCTAAAGACTGGACAGGGACGGGCGCCACCACGTGGCCACTGTGGACTAGGCGCCAGTCCTGAGGGAGGGGCAGGTTCCCCCCACTCTGCAGCCCAGGGCTCCTGGGAAGAGCCTGACTCCTGCTGCTTCAAAAGATGGAAGTAAAAAAGTGTCAGTCACTGATTTAAGATTTTTAAAAAGGGAAGTTCTGTGCTGCAGATACTGTAACTGTGTCAGCTTTTTTCCTGCAACTTTCAAAAAAGTTAATATTAATGTGGAAACTTAAGAAATTAAAAACACCAGAAAGTGTTTATCTTCCTCTTTTTCTTTAAAAACACAATCAACTCAAACGAGGGCTTGATTTATACATTTCACATAGACGTTTTTCCTTAGGTCAATAAAAGCTAAATACCTAGATGCATTCTGTGGTGATACATTTAGGCAGGAGGATGAATCTGCCCCTTTAAAATTACTTACATTTAACAAGAGCAGAAAAGGGCAGCATAAATAAACACTTTAGCCCCAAATCTAAAGGTCACTGAACGCAGGGTCTGGTGAAATCAGCAGGAACCGGGATTTTGGAGAACAATTTAAAGCCTTCTGGGGAGCCAGAAGAGTTACAGGATGGCCCCACGGCCTCCCAGGCTTTGCAGGTCTGCACATTTTCCCCTTAAATCCCAGAGCTGCTAATCTTTGTTTGTTGAGCTTTACAAATGGAGGTTTTGGAGAGAATATCAAAGTTCAAAGTTTTCCAGCTCTGACAAAACTAGAAAAAAAAATGACTGAAATGGATAAAATGCGATTTCAAACCTGGCGATTTCTAGGTCAAACATGGCGTAAAATTCTTAGCTCAGCAAGAGATTCTCCAAAACACATCCCCTGATTGGCTCCCTTGGGAAGGGAAGGGGTCGTGCCCAACACGGACAGGGGTCCCCAAGGGCATTCAGTCCATGGGGTCTGAGGCAGGCTTGGGGTCATGGCCTCTTCCCTAACCTGTAACCCTTGGGAAGGCGAGACCTCTGCCTGCCATCGCCCCCACACTCACCAGGGCAGGGCCTCGGGGCTGCTGACTCCCCCGGCCCATCCTCGTCCCCGCAGCCTCCCCACTGCTGGCCTCGTTGTCCTTCCCTGAAGGGACAGAAAACTGAAGCAGCTGTTCCGCACAACCCTTCACCCACCGTCTTTCTCACCCTGACACTTGTGGTTCAGAAAGACAGCCTCCTTTTGTGGTTTCTCTTTGCTATCCTCTCCCTCACGGGTCCTTCCCTGACTCCATCTCTGGGATCCACGGACTCACTGAAGTCCTCCGTTTGAAACTGTCCGGGGGAGGTCTGATAACATGGCACCCAGCGTGCCATATTCATACCTAAAATATTAAGACGACACTTCTCCATCTAATGACAGTCCCCAATTCTCAAAAGCAGTGCCGGAAGGCACTACTCATCCTTAGCGAGCACGTGCTGCCGAGGGCTTTCCTGCTGCAGTGCAAGAGAGAGTCTGGAGCACGTGCACAGCGTCATAGATTTTGGGGGCTGAGGGTGACTTCCTGGCTGTCTAGCCCCATTCTCCATTTTGCACAGGAGGGGACTGAACCCAGAGAAAGGCAGGGACCTGCTGGGGAACGCACATAGTGTCGGGGTGCAGCAGGGGCCTCCCAGCTCAGGTGCAGCACCCCGCCAGTCCCGGGGATTTCTTCTCTCAGTGTCTGGACTTTAATTAAGCAGAAAGGGAAATACGAGCAAAGTTTTACTTAAAACACAAACCACCAGGAGAAACAACGACCCAAGGGAGGCAGCCACCTCGCTCCAGCTGGAGCTGAGAATGAAAATAAAGAAAAAAAATCCAGCAAGCTGAGACTGTGTGGCCTGGAGGCCATGGACAGGAGACCTGTCTCCAGCCTGCCAAGCTCATGGAGTCCCTTGGGCTCTTCTCTGTCCTCTACGGTCCCAGGGACAGGGACCAGCTGGGACAAGGAAGCTTGGTCAAGGGTCTTCCTGGCATAAGGTGTTACTTAGTTCAGGGGCAGCTGCCGGGGAAAGAAACCTCCCTCACATCACGGCCGAGTCCCTGTAAGGTGGCCACCCTTTTGGCATAACCCTTAGAGGCCATCTGCCCCCTGTCAGAATCCAAAATGAGGGAAATTACCAGGAGGAGCTGCAAGGAAGGGTGGAGAGGAGGTTTCCTTGTGTGTGGCTGAAGCAGACCTCTCAGCACAAGCTGTGGTGGTGGTTCCCTTACTGGTAGCACTGGAAAAAAGATTAAAACTCCAGCTGATTCGCACTTTAAAGAATACAAACTTCTTTGAGGCTTGTAGGAAGGGCTCACTAATTTGCCTGGGGCAACTATCCCAATAAAAGCAAACACATGGCCAGCCCTGTACCCCAGTCATGCCCAGGGTCCTGAAACAGGCTGGCTGTGAAGAGACGTGTCCTCTGTCCCTCTCCTAGGTGCACAGGCTGAGGTGGGGCCAGCATGGTTTCCATAAGCTGGCTGCAGACGCTTCCTCCCTGCCTCTTGTCTCTGGGTAGGGCCAGCTGCCCCATTCCTGGGGGACACGGTGACAGGCCATACAGCTCTCCACCTCCTGGCCATGGCTCACTCCCCGGGGAGGAGTCCCCTACTCAGCTGAGCCCCTGGCCCATTCCAGGTCACATGGAATCAGGACCATGAGACGCAGACTCAAAAGAGATGGGTGCTGCCACCCTCTGTCATGCAGGCTGAGAAGTCAGGGTAAGAGGAAGGCGGGGCGGCGGGACCTTGCCTTCACCTTACTACAAACTCCAGCCTTTGCCCAAGATGACTTAGAGGTTTCTGATGTTTGCAACCAAGAAGTTCCCAACACACACTGGGAGCTCCAGCAGGAGTGTCACTGTTTAGGACCAGCGTGTGTTGCTGTGGGAAGGCCTCCGATGACACCTGTGTCTCACTCAACACTGAGATCACATCACATTTTTCTTTAAAAGGGGATAATGTATTAGCATAAGCCAATAGCCAGGCCACAAACTGATGGCTACCTGAATTATACAGCATCTAAACCCTTCTGTTTGTTTTCTCCCAGTATGGAGAAATGACTCTAGAAAAGCAACTTCCTGAGGACCAGAACACATGGCCTGCCCCACACCTGTTCTGCAGCTCACCCACCTCACCATCACACCCCCACACCCGGTGCACAGGCTGACCCTGCAGTGGGCAGCCTCCCGCACAGGGTCTGTGCTGGGCATTCCCCCGTAACACAGAACAGAGGTGTCTTGTGACCCCAGCTCACCTGTGCCTGGCCCGGGCCAGGTGTGCCCGGAGGACGGACTGGATGACAGTGATGGCCTCCTCTTGCCTGGGGCTGCCCTCGGCCTGGGCGATGGGGCTCGGGATGCGGGGCGTGGGAGAGCTCTGGGGCGTGGCGACAGTAGGGAAGAGAACCACTGGGCAACGCTCTGCTGCTTCCAGAGAGCGGCCCCCGCGGCCCTCTTGGCATCGGGAGCGGTAAGAGCAGCTTCCCTTTCAGGCACCCCCACCCCCATTACTGCTGGTTAGTTGGCAACCTCCTGATTGCATGTTCTTAACTTTTAAACTCTAGAGAGTCTTAAAGCAAACATCTTGTCTTTTTTTTCATTTTTTTTTAATAGAGGGGCTGACACGGGAAGCATCTATCTTTATTAGTTTTTAAGCTGCCCTCAGTGTGAGACAGACAGGGTGCTCGATTCTTTAGCCCTTCAAAGCAATCCGGCCTCTAAAGCAAAATCTGTCCAGGGCCTGCCGAGTGGTGCAGCTGCCTGGCCAAGTGGGCACAGGGTGGGGACAGGGCATAGCTGCTGGGCAAGGGAGGCCCAAAGGCTGTAAAGCTCCCTGCGCTTTCTTGGTTGGTAAAGTTTAAGAGAAGAAGTAATGGAGAGAAAATTCCTAGGCCTGTGTCAAGCGCCTCCCGGTTACCTGATTTGGGAGGCTGGGCATGCTGGAAGGTTCTGAGTCACATGCTTTGCTTGGTGAGAGCTTTGCCCGAGCCAGATGTCCCCTGAAAGCTGCCTGAATCACTACAGCCGCCTGGCAGGGAAAGGAGGGAAAGAAAAGAGATGTGAATTCCCTGGGCGATGGCAGGTGAGGCTGAGGAGACTGAGGGGACTTCAGCTGCAGCGACAGAGAACACGACTTCTCTCGCTGCTGCACAATCACAGGAGTCTCGGAAAGAGGCTTTCTCTCTTTCACTCACCCCAATCTCCCCTGGTGAGAAATAAACTAATCCTCTAGGGAGAAGGAGGCACAGATGCCTGATGCCACAGTAAACTGAGTCCTGGAATGTGTACGACTCAGCTGTCAAACACAATCATATTTAGCTGCTGATATTAATTATATTTTACATATAGTTATGTTTTCATGTTGGGGTAGTTTATTCCATGTTGGAACAGTTTATTCTGTTTCATCTACTTTCCACATACATCTTCTAAAATCAAGCAGGGTAGAGAAAGATCTCTACAATGACCACAAGGGAATTATTTATCCTTTGACCTTAATCTTAAATATTTTCTTAAGAAGTATGCATGGATGGGAGCCCCGTAAGTTGTGCAGTCCATGCTCTGTGTTCAGGGGAAGCACTCTTTTCTAAATGATCTGCCTCTAGCCTTGGTGAAAGCCATCGCAGCCTGGCAGGACCCTTGCAGCCCCCGGCACTTTGAGAGAATGACAGCCCACAGAGCCCTCAAAATGTGAGCTCAGAGGTCTCGGCGTGTCCATAGTAACTGTCAAAGGAAGAGAACACCTTTGTGTTTTTTTGAAGGCAAAATGAAGGAAATGTCACAAACGTAAGGTTAAGAAACAAGTACACCAAAGGAAGGTGAGACAACATCAGTGGTTAAGGACAACAACCCGTGGGAAGTACAGGGATCATCTAGATTAACCCAGAAGGCTTCTAGGAAAGCTGCTGCCAGTTACAGGGTGGCCTCACCGGAGGGGCGACGGCTGCCAAAATCACGCCACCCAAAGCACGAGGAACCTACAGCAAGGGGTGAGTTTCCCCCATGCCACACACTCTGCACACACTATCTGACTCAACTCTCGCGACAGCCCCACAGTCAGTCTCACCGTCATCCTTACCTCGGGGCGGAGGGCAGGGCACTGGGGAGGCAAAGCAAGAGCGGCAGACGGTACCTGCTGTTTGCACGTGGTGCGCAGCCCACTGAGGAGTCCGGACGCATTGATCACTCAGTCACTGACAATATTTACCGAATGCCTGCCACATGCGGCACTAGTCTAGGAGCTAGGGACATAGCGGGAAAGACGGAGCCAGTCCTGCCTCCACAGAACTTACAGCTGACGGGACAATGACAACAACCACAATGTCAGACAGGGGATAAATGTGGGGAAGGAAAACCCATCAGGCCTGGGGCTGGAGAGTGGTGGGGAGTACGGGGTGTGCAGGGAAGGGTCTCTGAGGAGGCACTGTTTCAGCAGAGACTTCGATAAAGCTGGGGGCAGGATAGACATCTGGAGACAGCCTTCTAGGCAGAGGAGCAGCAAGTGCAGAGGTCCTGTGGCAGGAACATGCATGGAACTTCCCAGGTATGCTGGGGAAGGGTGAGCAGGGCCCAGGCACAGGGCAGTGTGGGCAGGGAGGGCTCTAGAGCCCTGGGGAGGTGTCAGCTTTGGGTAAGAGCATGGAAAAATATTTATTTTAACAGGAGACAAGCAGATTTGGCAGTAGGAGGAGAACGAGGGAGGTCTCTCTCCTCCTTTTACTTTTTTCTACTGTGGTAAAATGTACATCAAATTTCCCATTTGAACTATTTTAAAGTGTACAATTCAGTGGCAGAAAGTACACTCACTATGTTGCATGACCATCACGACTGTCTAGTTCCACATCTTTTTCATCACCCCGAACGGCAACCCTGTCCCCCACTAGCTGTCCCCAGTCTCTGGCAACCACTAGTCCACTCTCTGTCTGTAAAGGAAGAAAAAAATCTCAGGACCACTCCCTACAACTCCTTATGCAATAGGGAAGGAAAAGGCCTCGGGCGCCTGTGAAGAGCTGGCCCCCATGAGCAAGGACAGCACATCGTCACTTCAGTCCACAGGCTTCGTCCAGCTACAGAAACTGAAGCCTGCTCGATTCCACACTAATAATGAACTACAAGTTCACCTTTCCAGGTGCCGAACAGAGACAAGACAGGATCAAGCACTGTTCCACCTACCCAGGGCTACGTAATTTTGCTTCCTCCATTCCCTTTTTCTCTTCTAATGATGGCTGCATCCTACGTAAAATGTAGATTACCTGGGCCTCACGAGAATGTAACTTGCCTTACTGCTCCCTTCAACCCCCTTAAATACTGAAGCTCCCAAACTCCCCTTTGGAAAAATGCCACAGATTTGTCTGTGGTCTGTGTTTTCCCAGGCACGTCCTCAACTTTGGCTGAACAAACCTCCACTGATTGAGTTCTCTGCCTCAGTCATTTATTCTGGGTTGTCATGTCTGTATGGCATTATCTATTCTAGACACTTCGTATTAGTGAATCATACAATATGGCCTTTTGAGTCCGGCCTCTTACACTTAGCATAATGTTTTCAGGTTCATCCACATTCATTCCTTTTTATGGCCGAAAAACAGCCCGTTGTATGGACACACCACTGTTTCCCCACTTGCTAGCTGAGGACGTGTGTGTTGTCTCCACCTTCTGGCTATTATGAATAGTGCTGCTGTAAACATTTGTGTACAAGTTTGTTTTAAAAAATTGTTTTCAATTCCTTTGGGCGTACACCTGGGAATGGAATTTCTGGGTCATATGATAATGCTGTTTAACTTTTTGGGGAACTGCCAACTGTTTTCCTAGTGGCCGCACCATTTCACATTCCCACCAGCAATGCGTGAGGTCCCCGGATTCCACACCCTCGCTGATACTTGTTACTGTCGGGGTGTGGTTATGGCTGTCCTGGTGGTGTGCAGTGGTGTGTCACTGTGGTGGCAGGTCTCTTTTCACTGCTTCTGCTCCACAGAGAGACAAGAATCAAGGTGGTCAGCTGAGAGTGGAAGGAGTTAGAGATTTGAGGAGAGTTAAGTATAACGTGGTTGTTCCAGGGATTGGGGATGAACTGACCAGAGGGCCCTTTGGACCAGGGTCACACACTCATCTCCAGGTACATCTACAGGGCAGGGGCAGGACTTCACCAAGGACTGGGTCTTGCCAGGGAGTATAATGTGGTCTGGGGCAGGAATGATGACACTGGACGCTGGAGCTGCAGCTGGTAACGGGGAGGTGAGGGCCCTGAGCAGGGAGTGGCAGGGGTTGAAAAGGTGGGAGATCTTGGGGTTAGGGAGGACCTTAGAACTGCTGGTAGGGGGCACAGTGGAGCTTAAAAAGAAATCAAAGTCTCGGGGCTACCCCCATCTCCTTATGCCAAAGAGAAAGTAAAAGCCTCAGGCACCACAGGTCATTGAGAACTGGCCCCACAGGTAATTCATTAAGGACATTCCTTGCTGACCTCCCAGAAGCAAGGACATGCAAACTGTACTATGTCCAGCACCTAAAACCAAAGTCTGTTCCATTCCACACTAACAATGAATTACAAGCGTGTCTTACAGTAACAGAACTGGAGACAAGGCACAATCAGACACTTCCACCTGCCCAGCAGGCATGGCTACATAATTGACGCTTCCTTCACTCCCTTATTGTATGTAAAATGTACATTTCTTGGGCCTCACAAGAATGTAACCACTTTGCCTCATCAGTGCCCCTCTCCTCCTGCCTTTTTCCTTCTCTCTGTTGCCTTTAAAACGCTGAAGTTTCCCACAAGCCACGGCTTGTCCGTGGTATTTTTCCCAGGCGCATCCTCAAAATCTTGGCTTAATAAACCTCCATTGAATGAGATTTTTGCCTGACTCATGTACCTGAGTGGACAGGAGCAACCGGAAGACAGGAAAGGAGGTCAGAGAGAGATCTGCAACTGCCCCTATATGCTGGTAAGGACAAGGGTGCGACCACAGGAGCAGATGATGAGGGGGATGGGGGTTAGACCACCTGAAAGCAGCAGGTCCAGGGACCAAGAGGCCAGCACTGAGGTGGCCACTGCAGAGCTGAGGTGCTGAGGCTGAGGACAAGAATAGTGGCGCACGGGGGACCTTCCTGAGGGGGGCATGATGGGCCAGCTGGGCAGTCGGCAACCTGCTGACAGAGGGCACTCACGCTGCTGTCACTCAGACATCAAGTGCCAACATTCCCTCCCTGCGACCACAGGCCATGGGGGCTGGCAGCAGGCTGACCACACGTGTTTACTGGCTGTCTGGACTGAAGAGCATAAAGTCCACGAGTTTTGAGACGGGCTGGCCGGTCTGCCCTGCGATTAAGGAGGGTGCCCAGCTGAGGAGGAAGGCGGAGTGAGAAGCCTGGCAACCACCCCATTCTTAGTGCCGGGGTCCACGTGGAGACGCACTGCTGCCCCAGGAGGAGCTGAGAGAAGAGGGCAGCTCGAGAAGCCTTCGAGACTTCAACAGAATAAAGATTTTACTTTTTAGCTCCTCACTCAATGAGGGTCATGGCTCACAACTGCACTGTTCACAACTCCATTAGTGCTTTGCCAGTCACATGTAGCACGTGCCAGCCTGCTGTCTGCTCTAACTTCTGTTCCAGTCTCCTCACACCTGTCACACAGACCTGCTGCTCCTTCTTCTACCAGTTCTTCCCAGGATGCCCCGTCCCTCCCTTGTCGTCCAGTGAGTTCTTACTCGTCTTGCGAGGCCCAGCTTGCTTGTTGCCCCAGCAGGGTCCCCCAGGCCTTCATGTGAGGGGCCAGCTGCCCCCACAGTGCCCTGGTCGCAGCCCTAAACCACCTGCCACCTGGCTGTAATGACCTGTCCACCTGTGTCAGACTGCTCGACACAGAACTGGGGGTCAGGAAGCGTGTGGGGAGGATGAGAGTGTGACGCTAGCCATGTGTCTACTTGGTGTCTCTATCACTTCTGTCACACGCTGTGCTGGCTCTGCTTGAGTTCATGAGAATGAGCACTAGTGCATCTCTCAATGTCCCCTCAGTTTCTCTGCTGCAACATAAAAACAGGTATCTTGAAATTGGTGAAATAAATCTTGCTTACCTCATCCAGAACAGCTTTTCTTTTCTGAAATACAGAAATAAAGTATGAATTAGCATGACAAGGGGGAGTTCTCCATACAGTCGTTTCCATTCCTTGACCTTGACCTGCTACAAGCCAGCATGGGGCTGTACACGCTCTGCCGCCTCCTTGGCCCTCGCTGATGCTGAGGGAACCAAACCCGTGTGTACCGATGACGAGATCAGGAAACAGAACCAGGACGGCAACGTCCCGCAGGGAAAGTCTTAGGAGACATACCCAGTGAACGGCGCAGTCCCCAGGCAGCAGGGCGCTATGAGGCCCAACCTGTGCCACTGAAGACATTGCTCAGCTCAATGAGAGATGGTCCTTTCTCACAACGAAAGTGATCCTGGTGTGGACGTCCTCGCCAATGGGTCCCAGAATTCAGAGGTTGGACACTGCCTGCTGGAGATGCTACAGAGGGGACTCCCACCCAGGGGTCTGCATTGCTGGCCTCCAGAGTTGGATGGTCATCAGAATCACTGAGGCCTTAGGAAAACGTTTCTCAGGCTGCAGCTGTGATTTGCTGAACCACAGTCATAGGGAGGGGCCCTGAGCATATGCATTTTATAGCTGTAAATGGAGCTGAAGTCTCTCCAAGGTGCGACTGCTAAGATTGTAAACGTGCATTCAGTGGCATTGAACGACCACAGCTAGATGACACGTACGTTCACCAGGGGATTCTCAGTATCGATCAGAGTGTGTGGCCATACTTGTTACAGTAAAAGGATCTGTCCCTTGAGAGATGAAGGGAAACTGAGTATAAGGACCAGCAGGATGTAAAACAGAGGCAAAGAAATAGACACTTAATGAAAGTAGCAATAAAGACTTTGGCAAAGATAGTATCAAACAGCAGGTAAGGACAGATATAGGCCAGGATTTGGGGGTCACCCACAAAAACTGGCTTTGTGAGTCACAGTGTGCTGCGCATGTGCTGACTGAAGCCCACGAGGTCAAGCACTGACAGTCCCCAGGTCAGCTGTTTTGCGGGGGTGGAGTGTACAGCAGACTGAAGGGATTCCAGCAAGCTCACGGTCTTCTGGAGGACTTAAGCCTCCAGCTACCCCCACTATGAAGCTGAGAGATGAGAGCAGATGAGGACAGGGGAAACCAGAGGACCCCAGACTTCTTAAATCCCAGCACCTCGACTTCTTATCAGGTGACCTTTCAAATGCATTAGTCTATCTTCCCAGAAGCACACATATTTGAATTTGCTTTAAAGCAGAATCCTGAAATGAAAATAGAAGAGACTCAGTTCCCGTGAGCCGAGAGGTCAGCCACGCTCCAGCTGCACACAGGGGACAGGGACATATGGCGCTGGTGGGGGAGGGCCGAGGTGCTGGGGGCCTGCGGTGAGCAAGAGGGGTGGGGCACAGCGAGCCCTGGGTGAGGGCAGCACTCTCATGGCACTGACCTTGGGTTTTATCTCTTTAATTAAGCAAAGGGCTGATCAAAAGAAAGGTGAGAGGAAAAGTGTACAAACAAGTAAATTGCTTCTGAAAATCCAATGGCTCAGAAACGGCACAGTCCAGGTCTGAGGGGAGGAAAGCACAGGGCTGCTTGGGCACTTTTTATATTTTCTTTTTTGATTTTGAGATGTGTCTCACTAGGTTGTCCAGGCTGGCCTTGAACTCCTGCACTCAAGGGATCCTCCCGCCTCAGTCTGCAGAGTTGCTGGGACTACAGGCACACGCCATCACACCTGGCTTGGCCACATTCAGGACAATATGAACAGTAAAAACGATAAGGACCATAATTCAGTTTAAAAGATTGAATAAATTAAAAATGTTTAGTCTATAGTAATACTCCCACACCTGAAAAAGAGAAAGAGAGAGAGAAAAGGAGAGAGACACAAAGAGAAAGAGAGAGACTCACTTGTCTCCTTACTCTGAAACCAGGGTCTACTTAGTACTTGCAGGGAAAGAGCTAAGCACTCACCTGTCTTTCCAGGAGGAGCTGGAGTCAGGCCTGCCAATAAGGAACCTACTCTGCAGAAGAGAACAGCTGCGAGGCGGAAGGACAGAATCTGAAATTCTTCCGCAATTATCTGAAATCACTGCCTGGGTAAGGCTCTGTGAAGGACACTAAAGCCCACCAGGGGAAAGGCTGGGGCAGGACGCTCGCTGAGGCCACACTCACCCTCTACAGATTGCCGGACAGTTCCCAAGGGAAAACTGTTTCTTTACAATGGCACAAGTTAGCAGCCATGACCTTAAGCAATCAAAGTTAGAAACACAAACG